GAGAGTGAGGAAAGCCCACTCATAGCCTTGAAAGTTACTGTATGGAAAAAAACAAGTTGGCACAATAGAAATCTAGAAATTCTCCAGCTGAGGTCAATTAAAAGGAACTTTCCATCACTAACGCAGGCCGGCGGCACTCTAGATTATCTGATGAGGCCTATGGCTATTGTAATACTAATACATATCCTTGAATAGGGAGTTAGATTATGATACATACACTTGGGTGGAAAGTCAAGATGCTGGCAAAATGTATAAACAATGAAGATGCATATATATTTTATATGAAATAAAGTATGCACACAGAATCCAAACTATGCAAATGAACCTCCAAACCATGCTATATAACAAGCATCGCTATCTTTGTGCATTGTTACTGTCTGAGCTACTAAGCTTTTGGGGTCCTGCCTGCTCCCTTCTTTTGTAACAGAACCTCCCATTTGCTTTCTGTTATCCATCTGTTCAGTACATTTCTTTGGGACAAAAGAACCCAGAATCTCTCCACAGTTTCCTTCTGAACTTAACTCAAATATCAGCTGCTATGATAAAGAAACTTATTGGTGCATACTAATTTAGAAGAGATAGCAGACTTCTTCAGACAGAGAGAAAATAATACTGGAAAGAAGTTTGAGTTTAAAAACATAATGAAAAGCACAGATAAAAAACTATTGGAGACTTATGCTAGATTTATTATCTAATTTTCTTGATATCTCTAAAAGAAAACTGGCGTGTTAAGTCTACAATAAATATGATATTTGGAGAAGTACATGATGTGAATAATTAATGTACTTAAGAACACCACTCACAAGATAGAGAGGTCGTAATAATTATACCAAGAGTCCTAGACCAGAATTCAAAGTTGGGGCGATTACAACACATTGGCTGTCCCACTCACTCCAAATAAAAGTAATATTGAAAAGGTCAGAAAAGATTTTAATTAAAATCTTTATTTGGAAAGATAGGAATTATTCATTTCAAGCTATCTTTCATTACTAACAAGAACCTTAAGCACGCAGAGGAAGAAGGGTGTTGGGGGCAAAGGGTATGTTTAGTTAAACATTGACAGTCTGCTCAACCATATCAGTTTTGATTTTGCAAGGTAGCCTCAGGCAATCTTCGTGTTGCCATGGGACAAACCGCTTTCCATTAGATCAGTGTTACTGCCAATCCCAGTTAAACACATCCTCAACTCTGGACTCGCATGTGCACGTGTAGTGCCCATGGAGACAAGCATGCATACACACATATTACATAAAAAGATTTTTAAGTCATGACTAAAATAACCACTATTAACAGAGGGCAGGAGAGAGAATTACACAGAGAGACAGACACAAGGACACACACCGAGAGAATACACCTGTAACTGTCTCCAGCTCTTCTCTTCTACTATAGCTTCTTGCCAAAGTGATAAATCAAGAAAAGTAAAAGCAATAATCAGACAGAACTAAAAGAAGAAGGAAACAGATGTTTTCTTTAACATTGTTGTTCAAGAATCTGATAGGAAAAGGCCAACAAATGTCACAACCTACACCATAACTCTTGCTGTGAAAGGTTTGTGGGAAGGAATATGAATAAACAACGAAAGAGATGGCCAAAGCAGAACTAACATGATAGTCAATTCCTTTCTTAGGAAGGTATTAGGATCATCTGATACATAAAACTGTTGGAATGAGTGCATGTCTCCATAGCACTGGGTTCTTTGCTAGGGATCCACAGTGAATCTTGATCTAAACCACTTGTCATAAGTCTAAATGTTAGAAGTTTAAGGGTAATGTAGCAGTCAAGGTGAAAGTTAAAACTCTAAAAGTTTCAAAGAAGATCAGAGAAAAACATGTTTCAGAGTTCATGATTACAGAAGACAGACTAAAGGAAAAAAATAACAAAACAATACAGGAAAGCTAAGCCAAAGAAGGAAGGCTGAAATAATTCTTCAAAAATTTCAGTTTAATGTTATGAAACCCATCAAGTCATGATTCCAATCTTCAATATCACAGCATTAAATTAATTGTATGTAGGATTCCTCCTTTCGAGCATGATAACAGATTATAGCACTCTAAATTAATTCAGGTGATTCCCACCATTCTGTGATTATGCAGCTAAACCTTGAACACTTAATACCTAAAAATGGACATTTATAGCTTTGAAGTATAATATTTGAATTTAAAATTCTTCTTGTGCTGTAGTCATGCATTTACAGAATTGTCAACACCCTAGGTTCATGAGAAGTCAATCTCTAGACATTAAAAACTCAGCAACAGCTGGACATGATGTGCACACATTTAACCCCAGCACCCTGGAGGCAGAAGCAGGTGGATTTCTATAATTCCAGTCCAGCCTTATTTACGCAGCAAGTTACAGGACATTCAAAGCTATGTAGAGTGGCTTTGTATTCCCTGTTTTTTTTTTTTTTTTTTTTTTTTTTTATCAGAACAGACTGTCAAAACAATTGCACGGGGATTTTTGCAACTTTAAAAAAGGTGGCAGGACTAAGTTACCCCTATTTCTTTGCTAAAAGAGTCCACAGTAAAACAATAACAAAAATATCAAACTTCATTCTTGTCTGATATAGATTCTATTAAATGTTTTGGGCTCAGTTTTTTTTCTTTCCTCACATCCTCAGAGGTATTGGTGTGACAGAAGTGACTTTTTTCTTTTCCTAAAAACCACTGTGTTAAGGAACCTGCTTCCTCTGTTGTAAGAAGCAGACCTTAGGGATGGTTGAGAAGAAAACTGTTCGTGAATGGACCAGGCTACAAGGCCAACACTGGAATGACTGCCGTTCGCACAGGTTTCCTCAACTAGAGAGTAACACCACCAATGCTGGATATTTGAGTGCTCAGGAAGCTCAGAGGATATTAGCAAGAAGCTAAAAGTTCTTCAGCCTCAATGAGCACACTTTGATAGACTGTTTGATAGTTTCTACCTTTACTCTGTGTGGTTACACTTAAAAACACTTAATGAAAAATGTATTAAGTGTGTGTGTGTCCTGTGTGACCCTTGTGTCCCAGGGTTCATGTGGAAGTCTGAGGATAACTTGCTTGAAAGAGTTCTCTTCCACACTGTAGGTCTTGGCGATTAATCACTTATTGTCAGGTTTGGGAACTTAGATTATGTTAACTTCTAATGAACAAAGTAAGACAAGCACACGTTGAGAACACGTTCTTTTAAATAAATTAAAATTTAATCCTCCATGGGGGCCGGAAAGATGGCTGAGTAAATTAGAGCACTGATTACTCTTGCAGAGGCCTGGGATTCAGTTCCCAGCACCCAAATAATGGCGAACAACTCTCTGTAACTCCTTTGAAAGTCGTTTAACTTCCACATGCATTTCACGCATGGTGTACCTGCACACACGCACACACACACTCACACACATACACACAAATTAAGTATGTAAATATTTAAATACTAAAAATAAAATCAAATTTCCTCCACCTGATGTCTATTCACTTCATCTCCTCAGAAATCACCACTGCATCAACCTTTTCAGTTTCCTCCTGAATAATTCTCTTACTTGTCAACAAGTAAAAATATGCTATCTGAATTTCACAGCTATGGAAATTGTCAGAAATGAATCCATACCTTATGAAACAATTCAAACTATAAGTTTTTTAACTGGGGCTTGTCTCCCATGTAATCCATCTAAGACAGTTCTGCTTGTTTAAGTTCCTGCGACGGTATGACACGCAGCATGTTTAACAGGCTCTAACATATTGCTATTCATCTGGAAAGGCAGGCAGCCTGGGGAACTGAACTTTAAATAATCCCCCACTGGCATTTGATCTGCTCTCTTCTGCTGAGGAGGTAAGTGGACCTTGGCTCAAGAAGTCCTGGAGAGACACAGGAGAGGCAGTAGTTTCTTAGACATCATCATTCAGTATTCTAACTAATACTGAGCCGCTGTAAAAATGCTACTCTCCTTTAACCCCTCCAAGTAAATCAGGAGAATGCTTCCCTTTCCTGACTTAAAGAAATTTGGTCTTTGACCTCTAGAGTCAGAACTGGCCTCAACAACTCTTTCAGATGGCTGTAGTATGAGCTTGTTTGATATATGTCAACTATCGTAAAACAAACAGTATTTCATGGCAGACCTTTAAATAATATACATATGTCCAAAGTCGGGGTAGCTGTGTTTCTATCCCAAGCATGTAGGCATATGAGATACTACCGACAATGAGATGATGCTTCTCTATGCCACGGTTTGGTGTCTGGTGAAGGTATGATTGCTGATATGGTGCACTACAATGTACCCTCTATCAATGTGTTCACTGTCAGAACTTCAAAAGGCTGCCAGTAAATGCAAATACTCTAAATGTCTCCTGTTCATGTAGCGATATTTCTGAGTCTATGTTATTTCTATATTTAATAGTAAAATGTAGACGAATAGTTCATAATCTAAATGGTTGCTTAGTAATATATCTGCAATCATTCAAGCCCGAGGATCTGAAAGTCTTTAGAACTGAGAATTTCTGCATTCAGTTTTCTAGAGAAAAAAAAATAAAACTCTAATAATAAATTGAACAAGTTTAAACAAAACAAACTCTTGAATTAAAGTAAGATTACAAAATTATTTTCTTAATTTCTGTAAATGCTAAACATTTTAAGTGATCTTCATACACACACATACATACACACAGACTTCTATCTCTAAATTGAAATGCATTTCAACATCTCTTGTTGAGTAATGTTTAATGAACTGTAATACAGCGAGATATTGTAGCAAATACAGTATTAAAATATTTTGGTACTTAATAGTTCAAAAATTATTTTATTTAATTGTGACCAACTGGCTTCATTGCATCTTATAAACTTCGCAATATATATTCAGAATAAAAGGAATAAAAATGAACAGATGTTTCTCCTTAAAGAAGGCAGACTAAGATTTTTCTTACACAATAAATCAGCTGCTGGTACATTTCTAGGACATTGCTTGAGGCTGTTTTAGTATAAAATTTTTAGCACACACACACACACCGCACACACAAGCACACATTTACTCTTACCTCAGTGTGGATCCAAAATTGGTACAGGAGATTGAATTGAATGTGAACAGCAAACACTGAAGGTGGTATGAACAGGGCCAAGGGAGAGTAGAAAATCTGTAAGGAAAAAAATATCTATTCACTTTACAATCACGAGTCCTCAACAGAAGCCTTATGAACTGTCCTTCTTCAGCAAACATAATTTTCCATGTATTTATGGCCATCACTTCGCAATATTAATTTTTCCCATGGTGATAGGATTGCAAGTGCTAATCTTCTTTTGGGAATTCAATTTTTTGTAATTAAAATATCACAGGCTGCATGTTATTTCCTTACCATGGGGAGATTAGATGTGTTTTCTAGAAGTATAATGATGGCTTCTAATGCCCAAATACTTTACTCAAGCAAAAATTTAATGCACATGCCTTTGTACCTTGACCACTCCCAAATGCTCAACTGTTCTCTAGCATTATCATAATAAAATGCAATCATAATAAAAGAAAAATATGTGGCATAATGAAAGAGTAGAATGCTGTTTCTTTTCTAATGTTTATATGATTCATTAAAGGTGAAAGATGTCTTAAATTTTATCAAAGTTATTTAGGTAGGAGGTGTCATGTGAGGACAGTGGAAGCAAGTCTAAGGGGCCAGCTACCTAAAAGAGGGACATTTCCATGCCTTGGAAAAACAGCTTTTTCTTAAGCCCTCAAACTGCTAAGAATTGACTAGTAAGTAGGTTTTGTTGTGGCATCCTAACAGCTTATTCCTGTGAGCATTCTTATGTGGTCAGCATAATTGTCCTGGAAGAAAACCACCCCCCCAAAAAAAAAACAAATAGATTTCAGAAGAATCTCACTCCCCTTAACACTTATGATTTTATAGAATCCATATTTCTAAAATGCTGCATATTTTAAAAACTGTTCTCCTGAATGCTATGATTTAATTGCTGAATTGTATAAAGCATTTGTCCCGAGTCATAGAGTCATTTGAAGGATATTTAGTAATGGGGTTGCATTGGAAATTAGAAATTTATGAAATTCTTATTTTTGTTCTAAATTTGTCACCTAAAATATAAGATTTTACCAATTGCAAGCAGGATGAATTTCATCATTTTCAACAGATAAAAAAGCAAATAGGTCAAATCAATGAGCAATAAGAGAATATAGATTTTTTTATTTAGGAACTCAACTTCCCAATCATGATTTCACTACAAACTTCCTTGTGAAGGTAAAAAGAAGTTTTAGCCCTCTGGGTTCCTTAAATTAATAGTAAAGGACAAAATTTAGAAATCTAACCATCTAGTTAGTTTCAAAAATTCTATATTAGTGTATGATATAGAATAGTATATAATATAAATAAAGGTTGACTAAAAAAGAATAGAAAATAAATATTTTGAATGTTAAATGAATAATATTTTTGGAAAGACAGCATCTAACAGATGAGTACTTAGAGTACATTATATTTGCGCAAAATTTGTGAAAATAATCTCTTATAATAACTACAGCTGTTATACAAAAATGTGGCTTTATGGCTATACTAAACACTTTTGTTCTGTAAGGGGACATTTCAGATCCCTTTCTTGCTCATGTGAACCAAACCCTGTCAATCTGTAGAAGAGTTTCTTTTTTGATAAGATTTTCAGAGGATTAGATCAACTTTAAAAAGTTCCAGACATCTTTTGTCTTGATAAACACAGTGATGTACTGACCCTTACAAACAGAGAGCCACAATGAGTCTTAGTTGAATTTTTGTTTTGTCTTTGTCCTGGGAATGATCTGAGCAGTCACCTCTGCTCTGCGAGATGTAGCAGCCTTGTTCGAGACCATTTTTACTATGGAGCTCAGGCTGGTCTAGGTCTAGAACTAGAAATCTAACTACCTTCATGTCAAAGTGCTGGGATTTCAGCGAGGCACCACTTTCCCTAGCTAAAACTCATTTTTTCTTAAGAATGAAGGCAAAAGTTGGGGAATAATTTACAATAATAAACTGAAAGACAATTCTTTGTGATTAATTCAGTGTTATAAAGAAAACTGTAGGGAAAAGGGTCTTATTCCTTTGCCTGAAAACAAAGCAGTAAATGTGGTGTAGGTATGAGAATTCTTTACTTCCTCCCTCTTCCCATCCTCAACCTTCTTTTATCTCTCCTGTTTTGTTGTTTTGTTTTTGTTTTTGTTTTTTGGTTTTTGGTTTTGTTTTTTTGGTTTTTGGTTTTGTTTTTTCATCTGCACGCCAGAGGAACAAATCCTAGGCCTTGGTCATCAAAGTCTAGTGCTCATTAAGAGAGTTGCATCTCCATGTCAGTAAGCCTCCATCTCCAATCTTGGGATCCGATTGTCCACATCCTTTACAAATAATTTAACTTCTTCTTCTATCATAAGTCCTTAAATGCACTTAATGATTTGACTGAAAAGCCCTCATGCTCGGTTAGTACCCGGGACAGAGGACATTGAGCATATTTACCAAATACGTCAGCTTCTGCCTGGCACTCTCACCAATGTTATTTTGACTCTAAGGCTCTTCGGCTTTAAATGACACTGTCACATTAGGTTGATTGTTCTATGAGATAATTAACATACAATAGAATTATTATAGAACTATATGTTTGAGGAAACAATGAGGATAAAACAAAACATAGTATCAGTCCAGCAGAGACAAAGTGAGGGTAATTTACCCTCCCACAAGCAGGTAGCAGAAGAGTGCTTGAGAGTTGGCATCTTGAAGCCATAAAGAAATGGCATATGGGAGGATTATAAATATTGTGACATTGTCAGACTTTTTGGAATTAGTCTTTTTTTTCAGTTTAAACATGCATAATAAATAAAATTTAATTGCAATTAGCCTAATGTTTATTACGATATACAATTTGATTTTTTATTTTTTTTATTTATTTATTAAAGATTTCAGTCTCTTCCCCACCGCTGCCTCCCCTTTCCCCCCCTCCCCCAATCAAGTCTCCCTCCCTCGTCAGCCCAAAGAGCAATCAGGGTTCCCTGCCCTGTGGGAAGTCCAAGGACCACCCACCTCCATCCAGGTCTAGTCAGGTGAGCATCCAAACTGCCTAGGCTGCCACAAAACCAATAGGTGCAGTAGGATCAAAAACCCGTTGCCATTGTTCTTGAGGTCTCAGTAGTCCTCATTGTCCACTATGTTCAGCAGACCGGTTTTCACCCAGGCTTTTTCAGACCCAGGCCAGCTGGCCTTGGTGAGTTCCTGATAGAACATCCCCATTGTCTCAGTGTGTGGGTGCACCCCTCGCGGTCCTGAGTTCCTTGCTCGTGCTCTATCCCCTTGTGCTCCTGATTTGGACCTTGAGATTTCAGTCCGGTGCTCCAATGTGGGTCTCTGTCTCCTTTCATCGCCTGATGAAGGTTAATATTCAGGAGGGTGCCTATATGATTTTCTTTGGGTTCTCCTTCTTATTTAGGTTCTCTAAGAACCCAAATTATAGGTTCAATGTCCTTTATTTATGGCTAGAAACCAAATATGAGTGAGTACATCCCATGTTCCTCTTTTGGGTCTGGCTTACCTCACTCAGGATAGTGTTTTCTATTTCCATCCATTTGCCTGCAAACTTCAAGAAGTCCTTGTTTTTTACTGTTGAGTAGTACTCTAATATGTATATATTCCATACTTTCTTCATCCATTCTTCTATTGAAGGGTATCTAGGTTGTTTCCAGGTTCTGGCTTATCATACAACAGAAGTATATGCTCTACTATTTTCATAGCAGCATTGTTTATAATAGCCAGAACCTGGAATTAGTCTTGTAAAACTCCTAGACTGTGGGAGGTTTGAACAAATCTCCCAGAGACCAGGAAGCAGGCTAATTCTCGGTTAATGTAACCGAGAATGATCTGGGATGACCCTGCATTTCCTGAAGAAAGAATGGATCACTTCAGTTCATCGGAGTCTCTATTGTGTGTGTGACTTGGCACAAAAAAAAATTAAAAAGAATGGATAAAGAAAAGAAAAATTTGAATGGCTACATGGGAGCATATTAATATTCTTCTAGGAAAGCTGGGCAGAAAGTGACATGTAACACTTACATTGGAGACCATGAGAGCAGCAGTGCAGTCAGCCTACGGACTGAACTAAAGAGAGAAGAATATTATCTTTAAATGCAGAGTAAGAGGACATACTCTCCTGTGTATTCATGTCTTGAGTGAAGACATGTGAACAGGGATAGAAAGAGAAAATGGCAAAGAGTTCACATTTCTCTGTAGTCTTTAGAGTTCCTGAGGTATCAGTGAGGAGAGCTTGAAGGAACTAAAATCCTAGAAAGGTTTCACAGGTGCAGAGAGGAGACAAAAGTGATATTTCATGTTTGTTTTAGAACTTGCTGAGCATATAGAGAGCTTTTCTGTGTCTGGAAGCGCTGGACAGAGTAAGGGCCACACAACGCAGTGACACTTGCAGGACTTCCGGCATGTAAGGCCTGGGGGTGCCCATGCAGTATATGAATGGAGGGAACATTTTTTCATACCCAAAGATTTCGAAGTGGACCAAAATGGTCCATGCACACGCTGGCTGGTTTGCCAGTCATGGGAATGAAGCCACTGAGTTTGCCTGTGATTTAAAATAGATCCAGACAGAGCTAGGAAGAAAAACAGGGCTTGTTGGATGGTTGTCCACTAGTAAACAGCTAAGCCAAATGGTTCAATGTTGGAGGAGGAGCTGCTTGTTTATTTCCAGCAGCTAGGAACTAAAATAATCACACAGAAACTCTATTATTTAAAAGACTGCTTGTCCCATTAGCTTTACCTTCTTACTGGCTAACTCTTACATCTTAATTTAACCCATCTCCATTAATTTATGCATTGCCATGTGGCTGTGACTTATGGGGTAAAGTTCTGCCCAGTTCTGGCAAGACTACATGGCTTCTCTCTTACTCTGCCTCCTTTCTTTCTGCATTCAGTTTAGTTTTCCCTGCCTACCTAAGTTCTGCCCTATCAACAGGCCAGTTTTTTATTCACCAATGCTATTCACAGCATACAGAGGAAAATCCCACATCACCTCCTCTTTTCTGTTTAAGTAAAAACGAATGGTTTTAACCTTAACAGCAAAATTACATAGGACAAAACAGGTATCAATCAAGAATTACAGTTATAATGTTTATATCTACTTTATCTTTTATCATATCTAAGGAAAACTATAACTATAAATTCTTTAACTCCACCAACAACTCCAGAAGGATATAATATTATGTAAGTAAACAGGAAGTGCATTATAAGCCTCTTCCAAAACTCTAAAATTGTCTGAGGCATCTTGCTACCTGGACAGTCACCCAACATTCTTCTGTACCATTGGGACATCCATCTGCAGCCTAAAGACCCATAGTATCTGGCAGACTTTTCCACAAAGCGGGAAATTTTAAATACAGTTCTACCTATATTGGCAGTTTGTTAGTCACTTTCTTCTGTATCCTGAAGAATGTATGGCAGACAATTTGATGAAGCAGGAAACCCATAGTATGGTCTCACCTTTAGGCAAATTCAGCAGTCATTTCTCTATGAGTTCTGCATGTTCAAGTAAGCAGTCCAGGTAAGAGCAGTTTCTTGCCCAAATGGCTAATCAACTCCATAAGGAGCTTCTTTGATACCCATCTTCCTCTTGAAGTAATTGGTGCTGCCAGGAGCAGCTGTGTCTCATTGTCATGTTAAGTCCCAAATTCTTAAAATATTTTAAATGCCATATTCTGTAGTCTTTGAAAGGTTTGAAGAATGCCTATCCATCTGAAATACATTTCTGGACATCTAGAAAATCTAACTAACATGACTACAAGTTTGACTATTATAGATGACTATGTATTAACCTATATTTTTAAATTATACATTACATGTTTAAATGAGCTGTACAAACACAATATCTTAATCAAGAGCAGAAATATACATATATATAAACAAAATTGACTTTAAATTTGTATCAATAAACCAAGACCATACCAATGCAAAGTATTCATCTTTATAGCATGTCTCCCATTAAATCACAAAGAAATCCTGTCTCAAAAAAACAAAAAAAATATTAACAATATCTGGGCATATGGGCATAGTTCTTCTCCAAATTGCTTCCTGATTTTTGCTGGGCAAAGTAATATTTGAGGGTGTTCACAGCAACCTTTCAGGGGGTCTTGGCTCAGTTTGGAGAAAATAATATTCTAATGATTCTTATATAATTATATGTTGTAAAATATGCATGTTATGATCTAAATACATTTTATATATGTATTATGAATTCCACTAACACAGTGCATTGACATGTATAATGTGAGAATAAGCAAGTGTATAAAACCATACACAGCAATATATTGTAAATAAAATGACATTCAGTTTAATTGTATTTTATAAAATGCAGCTCTTGTAGATAGCATGAGGCTTAAAATTGTCTTAAAAATACAAATGCCATGGTTAGAAATTCTAGAAAATTGAATCTGTAACTTTCATTGTTTTACATGACACGTCGGCCACTCTAATTTTCATGATAGTATAAAAGAGATATTCTCTGAGCTTAATTTTGCTCTTCATCTCACACAGCAATTTTCTTTCAAAGACTCGTTTATTATTTCTTCTGAAATATGTGGTTGCGCTGGTAACTGTTAAATTATAGGCCTTTTATAACACTGATAAGACATTTTACAGATAATTCAAGGAAAAGAAAGATATCAGAAATCTGACTTTGATTTCCATACCTAGGGGAAGGGGTATGGACGTGCTGGTCAAGAACGCAGGCTGAATTAAGCCCCTACCTTTCTTCTTTATTGTGTCAGCTCCTCCATTACCACTCCCCAAATAAAGAGCAATTTCTGACATTATTGGGAACCATTTCCTAATTCAACACATTTTTTTCTCTCTGTGACAGAATAATATAAAATACTTTACTTTGGGAACACATGAGAGCGGAGCTCATTTTGCTTGGATTTGCACTCATTTTTCACTTCAGATACATTTATTTTTTGTTTACATTACTTTATTTGGAAATGTTTATGACAGTACAGTAGAACTAAATTTACGAGATAGATATCATCAGTTTATTATAAAGGGGAGGCATGGAAATTATTTAGATGACGAAATAGTTCAGAATTTCAGTGGAGCGGGCAACTTCACGTGACGTCATTTCAAGAATTTCAATCCACATAATTTTCAAGAATGTCACGATCTCTAATGTCATCTAAATGAGAGATAGCCTTGTCTGGAATTTCTTTGGTTTCTGCATAATCTTGGAGAAGAACTTTGTGTTCAACCTTCACACTAACTGGTTGAATCTCTCGGCCCTGCCTTTCCACAATACTACTGTTGCTGGCAATGCTTTTCTTTAGACATATCTGGAAGCTGCCACCCCTTTGGATACAGATTTGGCTCCACTTCTTTTGACTAATACTCTGTCAGAGAGCAAAAGAAATGTCCTGAAGCTTGTTGGACACTGACTTGACCACTGCACTTGGGACTTGGCAGTCTAGGTGCCACTGTGCACAATCATTGACTAGCAGAGATGACAGGGAGGGAGTAAACTGGGATCAAGTATCTGGAGTGGCATTTTAATATAGGATTGTACAATGCAATATGACACTGTGGAGCTTTTCTGAAATTCATTGTCATATTTTAAAAGTATATTATGCATAAAATAGAAGATTTTATACTTCAAATTGTGAAGTATATAATACTCTGATGCATCTTTTCTCCTGTCAACAAACAATTCATTAACTCACTAATGTTCTTGGTCAACTTCAAATACAGCTATATTCTTTCCTGTTGTTTATTTTTCAGTAAGACACCCATGGGTTCCTCATTCAGAATGACCAGTTTCCTTAGTTCAAAAAGGTAAGTATAAGCAAAGAAGCAGGAATGATGTGATGGAAAAGTTTGGATGCTTGAAGCAAAATTAATAAAAACTCAAAGAAACTGAGGTTCAACATGAATACCAGAAAAACAAAGCAGCCAGCCACTGGCTCTTACCTCAATCTCAGTCAGAAAATAGTGATCCTGCCTCCAGGAAACTTCAGAATAAGACTAAGACTTTATAATCCTCTCTAGGACTGGGATTAAGGACATGCACCACTACCACTGGGTTTCTATGGCAAACTGGTATGGCTACTGGGATTAAAGGTTTGTGCTACCTCTGCCTGGTCTGTAAGGCTATCCCATGGGGCTGTTTTACTCTCTGATTTCAGGCACATTTTATATATTAAAATTCAAATAAAATGCCACTACGAGTGCTTGTTATTCTTCTTTAATAAACCTAAGAGCCCAGGACGGCATCTAGCACAGATATTCTCTGGAACCTCTGTGGTAACACCATTCTAGAAGCACCGAGATACTGCCATTTAGCTTTTAGGACTTCCTAAAACAATATACTTTATGTTGTTTTAAGTCTCTCAATTCATAGCATTTTGCTACAGCAATTCTGAAATTAAGGCATGTTTTAGTCTAGGGATCTTTGGTACAATAAAGTTGGGGGAAGTTTCTTTTACAATTTGCTCATTAACAGAATTATTATAGGCTTTACAGCCATGTCTGCTACTTGGGTTAGTACCCAATCCTGCATATTTTCTCTGAGTTGAAAGGCACCTAGTTATGATCTGAATTTTCCAATTATATGTATGACTGATGTGGGATTCTCCTCAGTATGCTGTGAATACCATTGGTTAATAAAGAAACTGTCTTGGGCCTTCACAGGGAATAGAGGTAAACAGGGAAAGCTAGGCTGAATTCTGGGATAAAGGAGGCAGAGTCAAGTAGAAACCATGGAGCCGATAAATGCAGATTTAATTCCATCATTTTAGGATCAAATAACTATAGTTCCTATATATTATAGTTTCTAGAAAAACATCTCTTACCCACAGAGAGTGCTTCAATGATATGAAATCACTACCAAGAAATCCAGGAGCAGAACTAACTCATCTCTAAAAAGAAGCTCAGTTAATCCACTAGTTTAGATATTGCCAATGTAGAAAGTATGGTGAGGGTACCCTTTTGTCTATGGCTCCTTGTTATGAATTTCAAGAGCATGCATGTCTGTGATCCTTACCAATCACCTCTTCAAGCAAACAGCAAGAAGAAGCAACTGAGACCCAAGGAGATACCTCCAAGGAAGTATCTCCTACTGATGTAAAAGGTAGACTTTCAAGTAGTCCAAACCTGAAAGGGTGCCAGTCTCCTAAATATTATTATCTTGGGGACCAGGCCTATACCATGTGAACTTTCATGGTAACTTTCCCAGATATTTGAAAAATGGAGAAATTTTAAATAAAAATAGAATGTTTAAAATATTTATATCTGAACATATTGGAGCTAAAACCCATTGTATTTACATTTGCCTACTGGTTAATATTATGTAAAAGTATTAATAATTGACAGGTACTTTCTGAGATTGCTGTCTGTCTTGAGGAGTACTTTCACATCAAACCAAAATTTAATTCTGGAAAGAGTACTTATGTCATATATGTCTGGTGTTCTAGAGAAGGAAGAGCCATTTAGAGGAAAATGAAGCACATCTTCTCATAGTTTAACAGGAAAAAGAAGCAAGACTTGAGATTTAAAAAAACAAATGATGCTGTCTCATTTATTCATTTTCCCACAACTTACCCACGAAGTATATGGCTGCAAGACAGATTGTCTCAGTGCTGTGCTTAAGTTATAGTCTTCAGAACTGTGGTGTGCCTGGTGTCCAGCCCAAATAATATTAATCTCTGCAAAACACATGATTTAAAACAAGGAATGAGGATGGGAAGAAAGCTGTTTCCATCCAGTCGTGTGCTTTGCTCTGGTAAGAACAGGTGAAAAGCCTGGCATATCTCAGAAAAGGCTAGCCAACACAATGATAATTTAAATGAGGTCTCTTGGAGCATTTTTGGAAGCATACAGTATACAAATAATAAATAAATGAAAATTGAAGTATAACAGTAACTATACACATCGTGTGGGGCACAATTATATACCACCAATGAAATTAAATGACTTCCAAAATTTATGCTTTGCTAGCATTTGCAATATCACAGATCATAAAAGCTAATGTGTGGTGATGCAGCAACACAGTGGCTGAAAAATGATGAGTTTTCAGTGTGTGATCCCACGTTTCTGATTAAAGACAAATTCTCCAATGAGAGAAATTAGGATATAATGAAATATTACACCATATTATTTCCTGATGGCTTTTGAGATGTCTCAAAGGCTGTCTGTTGGAATAAGCAAATTATAACAATATTTGATGCTGATCTTTAAGATCATGCTTTGTTATTCACACACTAGGCATCATAAATGGTTCTTCGCACAGCTTACGAAGATGTCCACCATTTCACATGACGTCCATGTGCCCTCAGAATAGAAAAGCAAATGGAGACAGTTGTTGGCATCAAGAGCTGCCATGATCACCCTCACGAGGCCTGCTGTCATGTCAAGCAGGGAAAAGTGTTCCTTTGACCATTGTCTGGTAAACACTTCAATTGTGCTTGGTAATTGTTTTAATCACTTCTAATAAATACACTGTACCCAAGATATTCAAGAATTATTTTTCATGAACGAGCAGTAATTCTTCATACGGTCCTTTATTAGTGTACAGACATAGTACTTGAAACTATTTGAAACTGGGTAGGGCCCAAACTTCTGTCTTATTTATTATGTACATAGCCACATATAAGAGATTTGCAAGGGCTTTTTCTTTGTAGCTTCAGATGTTATGTGGATGTTGTTTAAGATGTAGTAAATTTGACAAATTTTCCAAGTTTGGTAAAACATTTACCAACTAAGCCCTATGAAAAAAATTTAAACACCATTTTCTCCATAGAAAATTCAATATCAAACATTTTAGAGCCTGCTACTTATAATAAGCCTTGATTAAAATACACACACCTTTTTTTTTTTGACTTACCAGTATTTGATTCCAAATACTGATCTTAACACACCCAAAACACAGGGCAGAGAGGAGTAAGGTACTCTAGTACTGCAGCCTGATAATCTCCACAGAAGTGATGGTGGAACAAACAACCCATGAAGGTGGAGGTTAAAGACCTGTGTCTGTCGTTGTTTTGAAAGCCTTTTCTTCCCATCACAAACTGTGTAACAGGAACCCAAGATCAATGAAGTGCAGCTGCATAAACAGCACACAGTAACAAGATCCCACGCGCACACCTATGTCGCTTTCCAGGAGTGGAAAAGAGGCAGGAAAAAATGGATTTTTTTTTTGCACAGTCTATATCCAGCTTATTGGAAGTACATAAGCATAGCTACAAAAATATATTTACAGAAAATGATTCCAATAGTTCTTATGTGAATGGAATAAGAAAAGATTAATAGTTAATTTCTTGTTTACCTTCCTTACTGCTTGAATTGGTAAATTGGTTGCTCTAATAAATGAAAGCAAATATTAAGGAGGAAAAATGATAATATTCATAAAAGTGTTTTATTTGGAAAGATTTAATAAAATTATGTATTCTGTTCAAGATTGATATTTTTCTTTTCCTATAAGTAAATTGTAGACTTTATGTTCCCATAACATTTTATTAGACCATTGCAATGGCATAATTAGGAATAATTATGCTTATTTACAGTGCCAAAATGTCCACTTGTATAAGTATATTTGACTAATATGCAGCCAAAAATCTACTCATTTTGTGAGTTCTAATGCAATCTGTATGCTATATTATTGAACTTGTTAATTTCAAACATTTTAAATGAATTCTTAAGTTTCAGGTCATGCAGGGATGGCTCAACAGTTCAGAGCACTTGCTCCTATTTCAGAGGACCCAGGTTTCCTTCTCATCACCCACACTAGGGGAATCACAACTTTTGTGACTTCAGTTCCTAGGGATCCCATGTCTTGTTATAGCCTCTCAGAGTGTCTGCTTGCACATGGTGCAGTTCACACACACACACACACACACACACACGCACACGAACGTTCACATGCACAGACACAAACACACACACGCATGCATACACATACATGCACAAAAGAAATGAGCAAATCTTTATAAAATGTATACGATTCATTAAAGCCTTTTACTACTAATATTCAATGCTTGGCAATGAAGTTTAATAATTACTATTAAGTGAAGTTTAATAATTACTATTAAATAATTACTATTAAAACAGAAATTTTTTTATCATTCTGTATTTTTCCCATTCACCTATATGGCTGAGATATGCATGAACTAAAGTGGTTCCTGACTTATATTATGAAATTAAGACATTTCATAGCATGATAGAATGGACCTTTAGGGACTCTGAGAGAGAATCCTTTTGGTTTGTGCAATACTTGAGTCTCTCCTGCCCACCAAGAGCAAGGCTCTGGTGATTCCAGTCCACTTGTGGTCTTGCCTTTGGTGAGCCTTCCTTTGAAATCAGCTGAGCTAAGTCACTCCCTTCTAGGAAATAGGATTTTGGCAACGATGATGGATGTGATGTCATTTTCATTACCAAAAAGAGTAGCTGTGTCTCAAGTACTCTCTCAAAGTCTCACATTCCCAGCTGCATGGTGGAAACTCCTTTGCTGAGCTACATCTGAAGGGGAATTGGAGAACTGCTTGAGTAACAAGCCATCAAGGGCTAAGCTTGTTAGTATAAACACCAGGAGTCCAGCCAGCAATCATGTGAGTGAGTTTAGATAGACTCTTGTGTAGTCGAGACCCTGGATGCACTACAGCTGCCTCCGTGCCATCAGATGAACAGTTTAACAACAAATAAAGCCCATCAGCTCGGACTGGTGGGGCTCATACAAGCCACAGGCTGGTTTCTGTCTCCGTGTACATGCTGTGGGCGTTTGCCTTGAAATTTTTGTTGGACTCTTAACAAAGGGAGCGAGGGTGTCTCTCACTCTCTTGCCTGCTTGTGGGACATTTTTCCTCTTACTGGGTTGCTTCACCCAGCCTAGCTATGAGGGTTTGCATGTAGTCTTATTGCATATTGTTTTACTGAGTTCAGTTGATACCTCTGGGAAGCTTATTCTTTTCTGAAGGGAAACTGAGGAGCAATAGATCTTGGGGAGAGAAAAGATGGTTGGGGACAATGGAGGAAGCAGAGGTTGCAGTAGGGATGTATTGAATGAGAGAAGAATAAAGAAATGAAATAAGTAAAAGGCTCAACCCTGAAAAACTTAGACGATGCTATATATCATGCCATACCACATATTCAAACAAGATTTGCTACACTAGCATGTAATTCATTGATTTTTTTAAGTGTAAAAAACATATCAAAATGTTTAAAATACATTTGCTTACAACTTATTATGAGCAAATGTTTGATTTCTAGAAAATCTATAGATTACAACTTGCATCATTTTGTGTTTAATACTAAATAATAAAATGGGAAAAATTTTTAAAAGATTTGTGTAGCTAGGGCTCGCACAGAGAAGATACTATTTTTTTTTCTGTGCTGTGTTAAGTTTAAGAGACCCAGCCCTGCAGATGATCCTTATTCCCTGTCTTCAAAACACCTTAAGATGAAGCTTCCTAAACCTTATGAATGCAAATGAGATCCATGGGTTCTACTGCAATGATTTACATGATGATACATTGCTACTTCCCTTTGCCTTGCTTCAAGATGAAACCGATAAGGAATGGTTAGCCTTGATCAAAGAATGATGAAATCACTGGACTGCTAGCCTAGCACATGGAAACATGCTACACATTTTAACTCTATTCCTCAGAATCCTGTGTAGAGATGAAGAAAGGAAGATGCAGTTTCATTCAGTTTCCTGCCTACTAAAAAGTTAATAAATGCCGACATCCTCACAATTCTTGTTAATGGTCAAAAAGGCTGTTTTTCCCAGCCCTATTGAACCCACTTTATTAGGACAGACACAGCCCCGTTATTAAAGCTGGTCTGTGCGTACAGCTGTCTGTACGCTTGTATACCCTTTGGTAGGATTTTCAACCAGAATAACCTGGTCACTTAGTAACCAAAGGTCATTGTAAATGTTCAGTTTATTGTCTGTTTTATTATCAGGTTATGGTAAGGGTTAACTATAAATAATGTTATGAATGAGACAGTCCAGACAATTGCCTCTCTTGTTTCTCTTAGCCGTGCCATTCCTCCTTTGTAACCTTCTGCTCACAGTTATCCTGTGGTTTGATATTGACCAATAACAGATTTCTGTCCATTCCATACACAGTTGGAGGTCTTGGCCAGGGTCTTCAGATGGAAATTCTCATATTAATTTTGAAAATGTAGCCAACAATTTTCTCCTCAACAGAGGATGTGTTGTTGAAACTGAAGAACCACCAAATGATATGACCACTGGAATGTCAAGAAATGTAACAGTCTAGAAAAGAGACAATTTTGGTTGAAGGGATTATTTAATGTCTCAAAAATTTGATACATTAGTCCACCATGTAGAAAACATTTTTTAACAAAAGTTGGCAGGCATTGAAATGAGCATTATGAGTATTACATTTCAAAAACTAGTGAATTGGATGATTTTTAATATCTTTTCATGGCCACCTATTCGTTCAATAAACAAACCTCATGCATTTCGGTGTAGCTCAGATTAGTCACATTCAAGTCCTACGGTGGACTTCAGTATGTTTCAATGTTTTCCTTGTTTACAAGAAGCAGATTCCAAGGGATCTACGTCTTTTGCAAAGAAAGTGGGCATCTCTTCCACAGTAACAGCATACATAATAACTTGAACAACCTAAATCAGGGAGCAGGAATTATGAAGAAGAATTGTCATTATGTGAACAGGGTACGCTAG